AAAAAAAGATCAAGATAAATAATGTATTGATCTAGATGCATCTAAACTATGGATCACTTGATATTTTTCTATGTATGAATTAGTCTCTAATATTACTATTGTACATAAGCGTATAAATAATTTGAGTAGTAAATTGTTTCTGACTTAATTTTAAAATTTTAACAATAAGCTTATAAGGATTAACAAAGTGTTTGTGAATTTTCAATTATGTGTTGCCAAAATGAATTATGAACCAGTTATTTCTAATCATCCATATTATTCTAAACCAAACATAGTCCAATATGCCCAACAGGTTCATTTGACAAGCAACCTTTATTAGGAGTCATGTTTGTGATTAGTCGGTAAAACAAGGGAATTTACAAAGTAATACCCTACTATGTTTGAGGGAAATTCTATTTTCACACACTTACCTACCTCTGTACACACACTTAATGATTTATTTTTTTATTACAGGTTTGTCTTAAATAAAATTACTAAAAGTGTCCTATATCTTCTCCATCAAAACCCTAATTTTCTTCATCTCCCTTCATCGTTTGAAGCTCAGAATCCATGGCAGCCACACTGATCTCCATCTCCTAACTCAGCCACACTAATGGAAACCTATAGATGGGGCAAAATGAAATAGATAATAAATAAACAAACAGACCAGTAACTCTTCTGCATCACAACTAATCTTGCTCAAGCCTCGCCAGTGTAGTTGTTCGCTCAAAGCTCTGTTTATCGTGAGCTGGTTCAACAAAATAATGTATTGAAATAAAGAAAATAATACTAGGAATACTCGTTGCAATGCAGAAAACAACACTTACAAGGGAGAAGAAACAACACTTACAAATGAAAAATTCTTTTCAAGACCAAGCAGGGGAGAGAAACAACACTTTATAAATGGGTGTTGATTTAGGGTTTCAATGTCAAAAAGAGGGATAATTTTGGCAAAAAAGATTGTGCATTGAGTAAAATCACAAAATTCAAAATTAGTTGGTATGTGTATTGAGGAAAGGATGTAGAACGAGATGTTTTGGTGTGTGGAAATAGAATTACCCTATGTTTGAATGACAGTAATACCTTACTATGTTTCATGATTTTACCGTCTAGATATAGTTTGAATGGAAATGTGATTCTTGATTAACCATTATAAGTAGGTTGAATCTAATCTCCACTTCTCTAGTAATCTCACATTCCTATGTCTAAAAAGATCAAACTAAACTCAAATTACTGGGAATGAGATTCCTCGCAATGAGATATTCATTCCTAATCTTTCATTCCTCATAATTATTTACATTGAGCCAATGAATGAACAAGTGAGCTGTGAATGAACTAAGTAGGAGCTAAGGGAGAGATGTGAGTGAGTGGAATATATGAAAGAATTAATGTCATGAAGACATTATATATATATATATATGCTTAGTTATTGTATGAACCCCAAAGCTTCTCCTTATATTACGGATTAATAATAATCTTCAACCCTAAGGCAACTATCATGGGTCCCTTAGCTTAATCCAAGCTTTTACATGTCTCCTTAATCTCAAACAAGAATTATAAACAAGTCTAATGTAATATTTATTAATTATAGGGCAAACATGCTTATGAGAGGTATGACTACGTGCATCGAATCCAATTAACGTATGAGGTGTATAGAGAAGTGGGAGAAATGTTTAAGAAAATTATTTTTAAAAATATAAAGGGCGTGATACATATTAGCAGATGTCTACAGTAAAACCCATCGCTATTTAATTCACACAACGATTATTATGTGAATTCATGTAAATAAATAAATAAAAATATTGTTGAAATTCATTGTTTCACAAAGTTGTCAACCCAAAAAACAAAAACAAAAAAAATAAGAGAAGGGGGAGAGAGATCAATGTTAGTATGAGCAATAGCAAACATAGGTGTAGAGGGTAGGAGCCATGGCCCTCCAAATTTCAGAAAATGTCATTTAGCCTTATATTATTTTAAGTATTTTTACAAGAAATTAGCCTTTAAGTCTTTCCAAACTTTTGAAAAATATCTACTAGTCCTGTACAAGGACATTGTCATTTTGGCCCCTCCAAAATTTAAAAACTTTATCTAACCCTTACAAAAATCTAAATGATTTTCCATTGACCTCCTAACAAAATTTTTGAATTCGCCATTGAATATCAAACGTCCCATATTTCACTTGTGCCAATCATGACATGATTTGGTGTGCACAGGTAGTTGGCTTTGTTTTTTGGCTTTTCAACATGCGAGAGGTAGGTGATCAATATATATATATATATATATATATTATAAAAATTTGAGAATGAGATGCTATAGGTGTGTGTGATGAGATTAGTGATGAAAGGTGATCAGTCTCTTTTGCATTTATATAGATATCATATTGCTTCTAAAAAGGAGTTGTTACCATTAAATTAATGGGTAAGACTTGTCTCCACAAGCCACACTCTAAATTAATTATGAAGAAATTACACCAACGGTCTCTGTAGTTTAGGTTTTATGTCATTTTGATTTTTAATTTTTTTAATTGTGATACTTTTGACTTTAGATTTTAAATCTTATTCTAAATAAAGACAATTGAAGATATCATTACTTAATTGCAATGGTAAAATTGATAAATCCTTTAGACATTTTTTTTTTACCAAAATAAATTTTATTATGTATACTTGGATGATGATTATGCAATGAGTGATTGTTTTTATTTTCATTAAATTAATTTCTATTTTTGCAAAAGTCAAATATGGCGAAAAATTTGATATCATTATTAAATCAATCCATAAATCAAAATATCCAAAACCAAAAACATTATCGATTACACATTAAAGGCCTAACAACCACTTATTATATGATTATCATCCAAACACATAATAAAAATTAATTTGGTAAAAAAAATAAACAAATGTCCAAAATATTTATCAATTTTACATAATTTTATCTTTAGTGGGTAGAAATTATTTTTAAAAATTTAAAAATATTTTTTGACATTTATATTTGTCAAATTAGTTTATATTTTATCAAATTAACGACTTTGCCATTAAAATTGAGCAATGGTATCCTCAAGGATTTGGAACAAGATTTAAAATTCATGATCAAATGTGTCACAATTGAAAAGTCAGGAATCAAAATGACACGAATCTCAAATTATAGAGACGGTTAATGTAATTCGTCCATTAATTATATAGTATTTATTTTGTCACATCTATTAGTGTGAAATTATACCACTAATCTATTAGACTTACTTACCATATATATTGCTTGTAATGTGGAGTTGCTGCAACTAATTTCCATTTTTTCTCACTCCGTACAAATCTCACTTGAAATGTAGTACAAAACATGTTTGCATACCATCTGCTCATGAAAATTATTAATAAAAATATTTAATTTCAACTCAATTCAATTTCTTTCAATTTATAAAAAAATTAAATAAATAAAAAAACTAATTATAGCTTGAAAGTTATAAGTTAGTTCATAAGTTAACTTCTATAAATATAGCTTTTTAGATTATTAGCTTAACATATTTAAAATAAATTGAAAATTTGTTTTGTGCAGATTTTCATAATTTGTTTAAAAAAATTGAACATACTTGGTTAAATAGGTTGTCACATAATTTTTTTTGTTGTGCAAATAACTAAGATGCCCTAAAAAGTTAAAATTAAGGTAAAAGGGGTGGAGGCTCTTGTCTGTAATTATTCAAGGGTTTTGAATAAGTTCAAAAAGTTACAAATTGTAATAGGAAAATCTCACTTATTTAGGCCAAAAAAGCTATTATCTAAAATTGAAACCAAACACCATTAATCAACATATTTTAATCGATAAGCTAAATAAATTGATTTATAAATGTTAACCGGGCCGGAAAGAAAGTAAATGAATTAGAAGCTTTTTCTTCTTAACTTTCCCTTCTTTTGTTTTTTTCTTTATAAATTTAAGATCCAAATACAAAATTAAAGTATTGAAATTTGACAACTCTATAATTGACAAGTACACATCATAGATTTGAAAAATGCTGAACACAAGATTCTCATTGTCGAGGAATTTTAGACCTTGGGCTTTCAATCAGAATGGTCCATATTCCATTTTATTTGATTCCATGGATCTTAACCCATCATTGGTTAAGTTGGACCTTCCTGCAGCAACCACTTTAGATTTGAGTTTAAAATTTTCACCTTCCACATAGAGGCTTCATCTATATATATATATGCTAATTGATTGAGTAGGATTGAGCACATCTTAAATTTTTTTGAGTGAATTAGCACATCTTAAGTTGAATAGCTAAGAAACACATTTCTAAACTAATCCTTTGATAGCATTATGCAATCAAAGAGAACTGTTATACGAGTTAAAAGTTGGCTTGAAATCAATTGAAGTTTGGTTTGGGAAGTAGGTTGCCTTTTTGACTTTTTTGGTTATTTTAGCCTGGGATAAAAAGGTGATTTGAGAAGGACTTTTAACTTTTTTAACTTTTTTGTGAGAGAAAGAATGTAATGATTATGAGTTTGATGTGATGTTTTATCTTATTGGACTAAAAAACCTATTTTATCTCTTGTAACTATTTTAGCCCCAAACCTACTTCTCAAACAATGGCTGAGTTATTTGCAATGACGTTAGCATTGCAGGCCACTATAACATTGACCTCAATCGATTTTAAATCGACTTTCGACTTGAAGATCATTTTTCCGTCACCAAATAATGTTATTATTAAAGTTTTTTTTTTTTTTTTTTTTTTTATCTTTTTCCTTTAATGTAACAAAATTAACAGTAATAATGGTGGACCAATCTGGCATTACAAGAACTCTTGGAGGGCAAATCAGTCATTAAGCATAACTGAATAACTGCCTGACACCTCTCAGGCTCTCTCTCGTAACTGCCACAAAAATAACAAACCATATAAGGCAGCCAATAGCAGACCACCACGTGTCCATCTCCCCACTCTCGATCACCAACCGCTTTTATCGGCTTATATGAACCCCTCTATGATCGTTTACTGCTCTCTAACGTACTCCCATTTCCATTTCCATTTCCACAAACAAACAAAAAAAAGCAGAGAGAGAGAGTCATGGAGGAGATTACAGTTGAGAATACCAACACCACCATCACAGCCATGGACGATGTGAAGAACGAGAAGCTTGAGGCCAAGATTGAGGGTCCGAAAAAGAACAGAATTCAAGTTTCTAACACCAAGAAACCCCTCTTTTTCTACCTCAATCTCGCCAAGGTTTCTTCTTTCTCTTCACTTCTCTTTCTGATGATTTCAATGCAATTTATATGATGCCAATGTATGTATCTTTCCATTTCGTAAAAATTTGTTTATGTTCTTGATTTGAAGAATTTCGTATTTTAAATGTCTTGGTTTGGAGTGTGTTTTTGAAAGGTTTTGCTTCTATGGATCTTGATCTGTTTGTGTGGATTCATCGGTACTGCACAATTTTTGTTTTACTTTGTGTAATGACATTGATCTTTGTTTTGAGTTTTTCTCGATTGAAGACGTGACGAATTCTTGTGTGGCTTCGTTTGTTGTGTTTAATTCTTAATGATTTATTGGATATTGATTTATGATGGTGTTACATTCTTGTTGCATGGTCACATGAGCTTAGTTATTTTATTTTGGTCCCATTTGATCTGGCAATAATAATGAATCAATCTGTTCTTTGTTGTTAAATCTTTTAAGCACCTTTGGTGATTTGCTGCTTCCAATTATTAACATTCTGTCATTGATAATGTTGTTGTGATTTGCATGATCGTACGAACTTAACATCGTGATTTTTAGTTCTGTTTAATCTGATAATGGTTCAGTGTGCTGTTCTTGATTGTTACAATCTTTGATACATTTGGTGATTTGATTCCAATAGTCTCGTTACTCTTGCACAGTCATTGATCATTGTATATTCCAAGAATATTGTTCTTGAATTTGAATGTTTTAGATTCTCATTCTTCAATGAAGATGGTGTTCTCTGCTCATGGTAGATGGACATGAAATGTTTTACAGATTGTTTTGGTTCTTTAACTGTATCTTCTCATTGAATACGCTTTAGTGGTTTCTGTATTTTCTTGGAATTTGCCAATGACCAAAATCTTTCGTGTGTTGCAGAGGCTCATTAAGCAGCACAACTTCATTGTGCTCTCTGCCTTGGGTATGGGTATGTGTTCTTGAATCTTCCATCTTCTATATTGCAAAATCCTAGGTTTCTTAGATTGTGTATGATTGCATACACAGCATTACACTTCCTAATAATATATGTTGTTGGGTATTTTTGCTCCAGCTATACCCACTGTCGTCACAATTGCTGAGATTCTGAAGACCAATGGACTGGTTTTCGAGAAACGTAAGAAGCCATTTATGCCTTTGTAATTGCTTATCTCATCCTTGTTTATTACTATATTGATTTCCTGTAGGTCTGATCATGTTTTTTGGGAATTAATCAGAAGTTTTGACATCCACTATTGGCACAAAGGATGAGGCAAAAGGTCGCATAGTTCAAAAGCCTAAGGTAAATTTGCTCAACATCTCATATCCATTTTTCCAGTTAAGACTAATCAGTTATTATTACTTATCCCTCTCTTTTGAGTTTCAGATTGAAATTGTGTTGGAGAAAAATGAGAAAGTCGAAAATCTGAAGGCCGCTACTGGTACAACACCAAAGAAGGCCGCTCCTGCTCCTGCTCCTGCTCTTGCTCCTGCTGATGCAAATACTAAGGAGGAATGACAAATTAGTAACCAAAGAGGGGTTAGATTCTGTGAATCTGAGTAGGAGATGTATCCAAGAGCGGCTGGGTATAGGTAGGCAAGACCAGTTAGAGCTGCCGCTGTCTCTAATTGGAACTTTTGCATTTATATGTTTTCTCTTGTCACTCATTTTTCCTTTCCAAAGTATTGTTAACATCAATTTCAATCTGGCTTGTTCATTTTGGCCATCAATTAGTACATGTAAAACTGCATGATATAAGGATACAATCTACAGATTTATTTTGTACCTCTTTCAGGTTACAATCTACAGATTCATTTTGTACCTCTCAGGATACAATCTACAGTTTCATTTTGTGCCTCTCTCTCTCTCTCTCTGTCTCTTGCACAGATATAAAGGACAATATGGGGGCAAAAAAATTAGTCAAAAATCACTGAAAGTGGACATCTGAATAGCATACAATTTAATTTGATATCATTAAATAAGACAAGTTCAAGTTGAATGCTTTTTATCCTGTACTGATACTTGTCATACATGTCACATCATATGAGGAGTAAGAGAATGCAAAACCCATCAAAAACCTCTAGAGCTGTGAGAAACAGGGCTTGACAAGAACTATTGTCGAAGCATTAGTACAGGGACTGCTGGACGAGGGTTAGTGCTAAAACCTCGACTCCATCTTCCATATCTTCTATGGACGCAAATTCTTCAGGTGTGTAAGGTGGCTCCGATAGTCCTTTCACTGTCAAATGGCATGAATTCAGTGTGCCTGGCCTGATTAATTTCTGTATGAAAAACATGCTCTTCAGTGATGAATTTAAATCTATTTTAGTGACACCTTTGGTTGCACATTTAACAAGTTGGAAAGGATAAATCTATTAGTTATGTAGAAAGAAGAAAGGTGCCCACATATTGAGAGAGAATTCATACCTCTGTTACATGGAATGAGATATCATATTCTCATCAGAGAGATTCTGCAAAGATGTGAAGTTGTATGATCTAGTAATAATTGGTTTTCATGATTAATTTAATTTAAGTCAGAAATATCGCTCTTGTAGATACAATAACCATGAGAAAGAAAAAGATCATTTGAAGTGCAAACTAATTGATGTTTTAAAAGCTGAGGAGCCAAATCGGGGGAAGAAATCAATTTTTTTTCTTCCCCCAGAGGACTTGTTCAATCAAAGTCACCAAGCGCAGAACTTCAGCACGTTAATTACACACACATTCTTTTAATGCAGGGCCACCAGTAGATGGACCAACAAAAGCAGAAAATTATGTCAAAAATTATCATTACAATGATAAATGTGCGTTTGTATAACCAAACAAAAAAGAAATACAACGATTGCTCAAAACACAACCCAATGGTTACTACATGCCAAAAGGCAACAAATTCTCCAACAAGAAACAACACACAACACAAAACCCTAGCCAACACAGGAAAAATCCTCTCACATCTTAGGAGGCTTGGTCAGATGACTAACGAGGCTCAATGATACATACACTACACAACCCAAAAAGCTAGGTACACAAAACTTCAGCCACCTCCATATTCTTGAATTTTGGAAGATTTATATTGGCAAGAAGGCTTTAGGCAGGTCTTCTTAGAATGCATGAAAAATTTTACCACCTCTGTGGCAAATTTTAGGTTATGGATTCCTCTTCAAGCTTCTCTTTAGGAGGAAGTAGATTCCAAGAGTCCCCCTGTTCCTAACCATTACTGGAACCAAATCTTCTATCTGCTCGCCACATGTACGAAGAGTGGAGGAGTCATGGTAAGCTCTGGTAATCATCACTTGCATGTGAAGGTTAGCGATGTTGCAGTGTTGAGCTTCCATTGTTTTCACTATTGATTCATCAAAAAGGGCTTGTGGATTCAAAACAACAATTTTAATTCTGAAAGATTGGCACCATGGTTTTTGGCTAGGGTTAAAGCAGATTGATGGATTTTCTCAATCAGATTGTGTCTTCAGTGTTCATCATTGCCTCTCACGTACTGCAGCTCACAGAAAAAATTACGAAAAAAACTCGGAACATCGGTACTAAAATATAAGTGATTAGCAGCACACATCATCTGTTTGGAAAATACATTGTGGTATAATATTACAGACAATACTATAAGACATTGTTCACCAATAGCAGCATACCTATTTCCAGGTGTGACTTGCTTGGGATGCTGTCGATATCTCCAGGATGCGGCTCCAGAATACCTTGGAACAGAGGAATTTTTGTAAGTAGGAAAAAGGGAAAAGAGGTTAAAAGCCACACACACACACAAAAAAAAAAAAAAGGTAGTGGAGGTAGTAGGTGAGTGGTATAGTGGAGGTGGTAGGTGTGGAGAAAGATAGTGGAGGTAGTAGGTGAGTGGTAAATTCTAACAGATTGGACACCCACAAAATGAAATTTACCGTAAAACACTAATTAACTGGTTACAAGAAAAATATGGCTTTAACAACAGATGCAGATTCCAACACATATTTCGCCACAACTAGTGCTAACTTTGCAGAAGCCAATTCTGCATCATTTCTGTTCAAAATGATTTAGGTAACTATCAATTATGTCTAAACAGCTAGCATCGCAGAGAGACACAGTTAAAAAGGCTTCAAAGATTTGAGAGCTAAAGGACCAAAATACTATACAAGCACAAAAGATATAGTTTTACTCTACTATTCACGATTAACTAAATATTTGGAAAGAGCGAAAGTACAAATGATTCATAGAAGCAAATTTCCTTATCCAGAAAAATAAATATAAATATAATAAAACAGAAAATATATATATATATCCGAAAAGGCAAATAAAAAAATCACTTTCAATGTAAATTTAAAAAAATAATAATAATAATCATTACAAAAATTTAAGAAAATCTAGTTGGGAGCCAAGCATAAACAACCTCAAGGAAAAGGGCAATGCAATTTCCAAAAATTAATGAAAAGAGGACCTCAAATAAGTATCATGCACAGTCTGACAGAGCATGAAATTGCTTGCATTTAAATTTTCAAGAATATGTGGTGCATAAATTTGTATAATGCAACGTGTGTCATTGGGAATAGTCACCTATTTGGCATCAGGACAGCGCCTGCATGGCCTTCCAAATCCGTTTGATACTTGCAGGAGCAGCAATTGCAGTCACAATGCCAATAGAAATACCTGGATTGAAGAAAGAACCAGAAGAAAACAAGCAATACAATGAAAATTGAAAAGTAAAGTTTATAAAAGTTTCAGTAACACAATTTTGAGCAGCTGCGTACCTTCTTCCTCAAGAATATGACCTTGCTCTATATGCAACTCCATAAAAGTGGAGTAACTTCATTTCTTAGAAAAACGCTTGTTAAGTCCTCTTGACATTTTCCATAACCAGCAGATCTTGCAGCATCAACTCCATATGTTTTGATTATCAACTGTTTTCTTGAGAGTTGAGAGCTTTCTCAAGTGACTCAGCTGCTTGCCAATAAGCGGCTGCACTTTTAACATAAAAAATGAGAAACATCAAGATACATATTTTAATGTTCTCCATTTACTCTTTTTTCCTATATTATTTGATTCAAAATTCTTAATGGTTATGTACAGAAGTGAACTACTACAGCCATTTATAAAACTCTCGATTCAACAAATTCTAAAAGCCGTCTATGAAAGATTGATTACCACTCCTTTCATCAGCTATATCTAGGGCCATATCCTCGCTCTGCTCATGCAAACCATGTTCCCTTTCTCACCACCTCATCCCATGTTATTTTGTTTGCCTCACTTCCATTCTAATAAAACCTTCCACGTGAATAAGATGATCACTCCTCATTACTGGTACAATAAATGGTTCCACAAGGAAAATAGAAAAGAATAGAAAACTACTATCTTGTTTGATTACCAATTGTCCTAAAAGCTCAAGTTGTAAGAAAATAAACCCAATAATACATATGAAGCTCTACAACACTGTCCCTCACATGCAACCCAATCATGCACATGGCGATGCACATCCAAACATGCACAGAAACATAATGCAAACAGGGTAACCAATGTAAACAGTGAGAAAACCCAAGACATCCTAAAGTCTGATACTATGTCAGGTTACCAATTGTCCAAAAGCTTAAGTTGTTAAGGGAGTGGCCAAACAATGCATATCAAGCTCTCCCACACATTTTAGTGAACTCAAAAAATTGCACATCACCTAGTCTCAATCAGTGCAATGAATAAAGAAAATAAAAATGTAGAACATGTCGTGAGGGATATGTGCAATATATCAATTTTATATATTTATTATATCTTATAACTTGTACATGAATACTTCATTCAAAGATAATTTTAAAAGAAAAAACCAACATAATTTCTTAAGGTCATGGGTTTGAGTCATGGAAACAGCATCTCCACTTGCGGGGTAAGGCTGCGTATATCAACCCTTCCACAGACCCCGCTTAAGCGGGAGCTTCGTGCACTAGGTACACCCTAATTTCTTAAGTTTACGGGATAATGGATTAATAGATACATCCATATTATTTTTCTTTTATCATTAGATTCAAACTTATTTTGTTCAAACTTATAATATGTTTTACATGTCTTAATGATGGATATGTGTGTCTCCTAAGTCCCCGAAGCATGTCTGGTCTAAAAAAAAATTAAAAATAATATGATACATTTCAACATATGTCTGACAGTCATGTCCCCTAAGGTTTGAAAAAAAATACAATTAGCCCCACACTTTTGACATAATTACATTGACCTCCCTCAAGGTTTTAACTCCCATAGCACCTAAGTCATTTTTTATCAGTAATTCGTTAGTTGTATGAGAGAAAAAATGATATCATCTCTTTCCTACAAAAATGCATATTTATTTTTGTTTATTTCAATGTTTACCCACCATTGGCATTAGTTTTCGTCACTTTAACCATACTAAAAAAGAGGTTAGTGTAATTATGTCAAGAGCATAGGGCTAACTGTATTTTCTCCAAATCTCAAGGGTGGTGAGTGTAATTTACCCAACAAATAAAAGTAAGAGTAAATAAATTAAATTTAAGCCCTAACTTTAAATTTACGGTTTCCACTTCCTTCTATACCTATAGCATGTGAGCTCCTTGGACCTCATCAGTGTGCTATGATCAACCTGCCTTTTAATATTTCAGTCTCTTTTCATTTTAATTTTTTCCTACTAGAAGGATGGTATTAGTTGGTCCAACTTAATTTCTGACTCTAATGTCAACAGCATGAATTACCAGTGCATAAGGTTACTCTATTCATTTACAGTATACAACTTGGTGATAAAGTCAGAAATGTTTACAGTATGGAATACCAGTGCATAATATTACTCAATCCTTTTAAAGTATTAATAAGGTAATTAAGTCCAAGATTTTTACAGATAAATCAACCACACTAAAGCACTCTAGATCTGGTCAATTTATATCATCAAATATTATAATGCAACTTGGCTGAGCCATGAGAACAAAGTATTTTGAAACTTCTGCCCTCTGTGTTTGTATACCAATATTTACAACAGTTGGGCAACTTTCATACCTTTTTAGTACATTAATGGCTTCTATTGCAACCCAAAACACCAAGAACTCCATCATACTTCCCCAAATAAGGAATTGCATCAATATGAGAACCTGTTGAAACTGCAGCTAGCTCTGGTTCATACCTTTCACTGCATAGAAGCAAATTAGTAAAAAAAGGGTTGAGCTCTAATGAATAAAGAATCAGTCGATGTCAACACAATAAAAAGAGGAAGTATGTTTTTTTTTAAAAAATATTGAATAAATTAAAGCTGAACAGAACAGAGAAGTTTATCTGTTGACTGACAACTTTTATACAGAAATCTTTGAGAAACTTCAGATTAAAATCAGTACGAATAAAAATTGTATGAATGCAGTATATATACAGGGGAAAAAATTAAAAAAACAAAAAGCATATTAAATGAGTCAATGCCACATTTTTTTGTCATAAAGAACATAGAATATTACTTGGTCAATGGTGAAGCTCCATTAATAAAAGTAGAATCATCTGCATGGTGTTTTTTATTTTCACAATTAACAGATAATATTATATAAACTGTATTTCATGAAGACTTAACTAAGAAGAACTGAAGTAGTGTCTGATTGAGGTTAAGCATGGTTAAACCTGGGACAAAGCTCAATGAGCCGCAATATAACATGCAACTGAGACTGGCATTAAAATCCTAGACAACCTTCACCTTCATAACACTTTAGAAGAATTAGTCTTATCAATAGAAATTGCCATGTTGCAGCAGAATTTATTAGATTTCCTAGGTTGGATTGGATGTTAGAATTGGAATGTCAAGCAAATGAGAAAAAAAATGTTTTTTTTATCCAATTTAGAGGTGGAAGGTAGTGTTCAAAAAAGATTAGCCTGTCTACATAGAGATTGACAGCATGCCACTTGTGCTACCATTAAGAAAAATCCAATTGTATCTATCTACTATTGATGCCTGCAATTGTTTTTCCTGGACATCAGATATTCGTCAAGAAATTTTTTTTGTTTTTTTCTTGAAAATAAAAGAGTCAAGAAGAGAGTTAGTTTAAAATAAAAGTACTGGTACCCTTCCAACACTACATAAGGGAATGTCTGAAGAGGCAATGATTGTTCTGGACACAATACCACCCTTCAAAACAGAATCACATACAAGAAAAGTAGTAACAGAAAATAAAATAAAAGTATTCATCACAACAAAAAAAAAAAGAAGAAGACAGAGCAAAGCGATAAAATGGCAACCTTTAAAATGATACAATGACATACATTCATCATACATTACTACAAGCAAATGACGTTTTTTAAATGCCATGCAAAATGAATAAGATACATTTCTAACAACCTTATTTTCATGTTGAGGTGATGCCATTGTTGGGCCTTGATTGATCTGGTTACCCTCACAAGCAAGAAGTTTTTTCTTCACTTCTCCCAATAACACCACCAGAAGTTCACATCTATCATCTGACACTGTTCCAAGTTCTTGAACTTCATAAAACAATGGACTTAACCTATTATTGTGCAACCTCTGTTCATTATTATCAAAATCATCATAAACATTTTTCACAAGAGTGTATCCACGCTTCATATCCTTCCTCCATCGTTCTAAAATGTAATGAGATGGAACTTCTTTCACCTTTTTTTTAATGAGAATAGATACTGCATGCCTACATAGAATTCCTTTAAATTCAAACAAATGGCATAAACATTGCACCTTACATTCAGTCTCATTATAAAGAACCTCATACTCCATCTCTTTCCACGATACACCATCTTTTCCTAACACACTTTCTGTCACTTCAAATGTGGCAATTGATCCTTCGGTCTTAACAAAAGATGCATTACAATACATCAATCCTCTCAACTCGTCCTGGAATAGCTTAAAAATATCATTAGTGTAAACCATTTGAAATTGCTTTTCAATAGAAAGACTAGTTATCATTGGAAGAGTATAATTGAAAGAATCAAGATTTGCTTTACTTTCCTTCTCCACCTTACTTTTTAAAGCATTATCGTACTGTTCAACAAATTGCTTTAAGGTAGTCTTTGAGTTAACATACTCATCAAAAAAGGTTTTCTTACTTTCACTTCGTTGGGTAGTTGACATTCCAGCCCAAAAAGTATTTTCCACAAATACAGGAACCCAACAATGGCGATCTTCATATAAAGACTTCAACCATTCATTATTCTCAAGGTTGTAATCTTTAACCATTTGCAACCAACTTTCTTCAAAATCACCAGGTTTAACAGAATCATAAACAATATTTTTCAAATTCCTCTTTATCGCGTTGTACTGAGCAAGCTCTCCTAATTTCAGAGGAAGCTTTTGCATTATCTGCCAAAGGCATAAACGGTGTCGAGAATTTGGAAATACTTCTGTAACTGATGTCTGAATAGCTTTACACTCATCTGTAACTATAGCTTTTGGAGAACGCCCTAACATGCATGTTAACCAAGACTTGAACAACCAAATATAAGTATCGGTGTCCTCGCTAAACAGTAAACCACAACCAAACAACATAGATTGTCCATGATGATTAACACCTACAAATGGAGCAAGTGGCATGTCATAACTCTTCGTCAAATAAGTAGTGTCAAATGAGATAACGTCTCCAAAGGAATCATATGCGGCCCTACACCGGGCGTCAGCCCAAAACACATTCTTTATTCTCCACTCCTCATCAACATCAATCATGTAGAAGAAATTTGGATTCCTACTCTGCATACGGTAAAAATAAACAAGAAGCGCTTCAGCATCATCGACCCCAAGTCTTGACTGTCTTGCTTTTGCAATTTCCTTTTCACCATAAGGCAAATTTTCGTAACAACCAGCTTCATCAGCAAATGAATGTGAGTTTTGGTTTAATGTTATGCCCGCCAAGTCATTTTGCTCCGATCTTCTTTTACCACGAGAATCCAAAGCCTTGTTACGTCTAAAATTCCGTGTCTTTCCTGGGCTTAATGCATGATTATGATCCAAATAAACACGAGATATAATGAACCTTCCATCTTCCTTGATCGTGACATTGATCTTGGCCTTACAATTAGTCTTAGTAGAAGGCCTTGGATGATAAGAGCCTTTAGCAGTGGATATTGTCTTACCATTTCGAGCACATGCTAGTGAAAAGTATTTTGGCCTCCCATCATCTCCACTCTTTGAGCTTATTTTTGCTACACCAAAACCCTGCCTTCTCGCAAAATTATCATAGTAATTACGAATTTCTTCGTCAGACGAAAAAACCATCCCAGCCTTCGGTGTTTCAATTTCATCCCCAATAAATGGGTTGTCTTCGAAATTTCGTTCATCTATTTTTTCTTCATCACCCTTTTCCTCATCTTGAATCCTTTCTATATCTTTCTTCAACACTATGTCCGTATCTTCTTCCATTCCTATAATCAATAAATTGTAAATAATAAAAATCAAAATCAAAATCAAATATTTGAGAGTAAAATAGCTATAAAAAAAACCCATTAAAACAAATACCAAAAATAAATTAATGCATAATCATTTCAGTATTACAGAGTAGAATTAACATTTCATACAAAAATTATATAGACACAGATACCAATTTTATCAAGACAAAGCTAAATATAAGTCTAAACCACCTTAGAAAATGTAATTCCTCATCCAAATAATGGAGAACAGTATCAATGTAACTAATCTATCCCTTGAAAATAAAAAATATATATATAAAAATAAAAAATAAAAAATAAAAAGAGAGAGAGAGAAGAAGAAGAGGGAAACAAATTGTTGTATGTATGTACCTGACATCGTGAAACAATTTGGGGTCCCTTTGATGGTGTTCTTCACAGATGGATCTTGTGTTTTGTAAAATTGATCTAGGGTTTTTTTAGGGTTTTCTCACAGTAGGAAACAAACGCGAAGGCAATAACTAAGGGCATTGTCGCAGGCACGCGTGAATACGTGTTGGATATCATCGTACTACCTTTAGGAGGAACCCCCCAAAAACAAAAGTTATTTTACTTTTTATTTTATTTTATTTTTTTCTAAAAGAAAAAAATCACGGCGCTAATTTCTTTATTTTTTTTTTTAAAGGAGAAATTACCGATAAATTCTAAATTAAGGAATGATGATCCATTTAATCCTTTATTTTTTCTTATGAACCATTTGGTCCTATTTAATTGATAAGGAATATTTTATTTTGATTTAGCATGGGCGAAGTTTGCACATTTACCCTTGTTATGAGTTTGATGGATTCTTTTTTGCTCATTTGTGTATAATGATTGAGATGGTAATGTTTTACATTTACATTTTTGTGTGTTTGATTTCTGTAGAGTGTTATGCAGTGGATAGGTTTCAATTGCTTATGTTGTTTTCTTCATTAACATTGATACGGTTAACATTACATTTTTACTACTACAAATGTTATTAAAATTCCATATCACCATCAACATCCATACGCTCAAAAAACAAGGAAATGGGTGGTACATTACAATACAACAAATCAAAAAAATGATACTTACATTACATTTCATTAACATCAATACGGTTAACATTACATTTTTTTTTTTATCACATATGTTATTAACATTCCATATCACCACCAACATTCTATATTACCACAAATGTTATTAACATGCCGGGCTATGCTACAGACCCCCAGCTGGGGGCACCCCCAGTGACCTCCAGTGGCAGGTGGCACACTGCCGTTGGGTGGAATTCAAAAAAAAAAAAAAAAAAAAATTTCAGCCTATCAGGGGCGACCCCCAGTGACCCCCACTGGGGGTGTTAGGCATTTTTCTAACATGCCGAATGTATATTATAACACAACGTATCAATGTTACTTGTGTTATTTGTGTTAAATTGGTTCAATCAAACATCATTTTCCGATGTTACCAAGCCCAAACTAGGCCTGTGTCCTGACATACACTTTTAAGAATACAACAGGACATTAGTCCATCAAATCTCAATACCATAACAGACAATCAAAATCAGAGGATTTCCTAACCCAAAACAGGCCATTTGTCCCAATATGCATTTGAAAACATCAAGTAAGACTGTATTCCATTCAAACTCAACAACCATGCATAATTAACATCCAAGCTAGACCACAATAACAACAATCAAATAAACAACGGCAGTCTACGATTACAAAACACTAATTTTTGGTAGATGGCCAAATGTAATGTTCACGTATATATCAATTCCTCAAATCCCACAATGCAAATGTATATCATACCAAAAAACCCCAAAATGTCCAATTTCAAAACTGAACCCCAAAAACAAACAACCAAAACCACAAGACATCATATGGAACTCTAGGAGTTTCGGGATCGTCATACACCAACGAGGACATTGGTAATGAGTCTCAAAATCGTCTAAACAGGCCACTATGAAGTGACGTCCTCACCGGCGCAAATTACACCTTTGATGACGAGTTGGGTTACAAATGGGGTGTTGTCCTGGTGTGGATTGATCCAGTTAGGGTTCAAAGCCGAAACTTATATGTGGAATTTGCTAAGAACCCTATTCGGCTGTCTCTCAAACACTTTTATGGTTTCATTGCACTAACATGGTAATGTTATCAACGTAGGAACGTTGATTGCCAACAATGCCTTACACACACCAGAATATTTTATGGAAAATGATGGAAAATTGAAAACGACTGGAGTGGGAGAGTCAGAGTCGAAAAGAGGATTCCTCACTTCTTTCTCTCATTCAAAACCGTGCATGAGACTTTCATCTCACACGGCTCCTAAGTGATAAAAGAAAGAAGAACTCATCTGGAATTGCCACAACATGGGCATTCTTCTTAGCAAGAATTATTGCAGTAGGATAATGGCTAGGAGGATTTGAAAAGCATTATGGCATTAAGATTTCCAAAAGCCTATAGTGCGCTCGAAGCCTACAAATGTAATTTGACATTACCCAAAACCCATATCTGCCCCTTCTGTGAACATCAAATATGCGTGTGGATGAGGACAAAAATGACAGAATCTTTGATTGAGGACTTTTCGGTTCAAAAGAAAACATGTGGGACTAATTGGTGCATAGGTTCATAACTTGGGATTTATTGGTGCTTCATCTTTTTTTTAAATTGAGTTTTATATTTTTTATATTTTTGGTGATTTTTTAATAGTTTAAAAAAAATTATTTTTTAGATACAGTTAACATAAATATAATTAAAAATATAATATTATGAATTTTTTTTTAAAAAAAAACTCACTAAACACCAAAAATATATAAAAAAAATAATATATTTTCGTATTTTTGTGTGTTTATTGATTTTGAAAAGTATTTTTTACAGATATTGTATTTTTTAAGTATTTTTTAAGTACATTTAAGTTAAATACATTTAAAAAATAAAAAATTTGCTTAAAATACTAAAAAAATCATTAAAAACTAAAAGAAATATGAAAAATAAAAAAATTCAACTAAACAAAGGATTCATTTTCCTAATTATTTTCAAATTCTATAAAAACCCAAAAATCTAAAAACATGATTATTTTAATTATTTACTTAAACTTGTATCAATTTTTTTTTAATAAAAATCACTTAACCCCCCCCTGTTCCATAGACCCAAAGGACTTTTTTTTTTTGATAAGTGAGGGGAGTTTTGGCAATGGTCCAACTTGTCTCATATTAAGGTCAATATTGAACAGATTCAGTTTGGTTTATGGGTTTATTTTTGGGTATCGTTTCGATAATTCAAACCGTTCAATATGTATAATTCGTCGAATACTATATTTGTGTAAAATATCACGTTAATCGGATATCGATAACTATTTGATCGGATCAGATTTGTATTAAAAAAACAAACGGTGAAAAATAAACGGTTGACATAATTCTGAACTGATCAAATAGCTATCGATATCCGATCAACGTTATTTTTTATAAAGATATAGTACTCAACAATTTCTACACATGAACAGTTTAAATTATCGAAATGAGGTCCAAAAACAAGCACATGGACCAAATTGGATGAATCCAGTCTTAATCTCAATATGAGACAAGTTGGATCCTTTTGGCAACACACTAAAAAAACCAAAAGATAGCTTTTAGCTTATTTTTGGTCACATGACCTTTTACATGAAAATAGTGGAAAAAAAATCAAAAAAGTTAAAAAATTAACTTTTAACAATCTTCTTAAAACATTCTTTCGACTAAAACTTTAGGTCTAAGTTCTATTTAACCGTTGAGCTCGTGAATTGAACTGATTAGCCATTTCTTACAAGCCAATGATGCTAACTTGTGGAGTTCAACTCAATAGATTGAGACTCATGCCAACCTTTAAAAAAAAAGGATAAATTGCATTAACAGTCCCTATAGTTTGGAATTTGTACCACTTTAATCTTTGACATTTCAATTGTGACATATTTAACCCTGTATTTTGAATCTCGTTCCAAATAAGGACAATTGAAGATATCGTTGCTTAATTTCCAAGGCAAAATCATCAATTTGATAAAATATAAACTAATTTTGACAAAAATAAATGTCAAAAAAAGATTTTTAATTTTAAAAAATTATTTCTACACACCAAAGATAAAATTATGTAAAATTGATAAATTTTTTGGACATTTATTTATTTATTTATTTTACCAAATTAATTTTTATTATGTGTTTTGATGATAATTATGCAATGAGTGGTCGTTATGATTTTTATGTGTAATCGATATATTTAAAATATAAAATATTTTTAGTTTGAATTTTTTAATTTAATAGATTGGTTTAATAACGACATCAAAATTGTCGTCATATTTGACTTTTTAAAAAATAGAAATTAATTTAATGAAAATAAAAATAACCACCCATTACACGATCATCATCCAACACACATAATAAAAATTAATTTGGTAAAAAAAAAAATAATTGTCTAAAAGATTTATTAATTTTACATAATTTTATCTTTAATAGGTAGAAATAATTTTTTAAAATTCAAAAATATTTTTTTGACATTTATTTTTGTACCACAAGACATCATATGGAACTCTAGGAGTTTCGGGATCGTCATACACCAACGAGGACATTGGTAATGAGTCTCAAAATCGTCTAAATAGGCCACTATGAAGTGACGTCCTCACCGGCGCAAATTGCACCTTTGATGACAAGTTGGGTTACAAATGGGGTGTTGTCCCGGTGTGGATTGATCCAGTTAGGGTTCAAAGTCGAAACCTATATGTGGAATTTGCTAAGAACCCTATTCGGTAGTCTCTCAAACACATTTATGGTTTCATTACACTAACATGGTAATGTTATCAACGTAGGAATGTTGATTGCCAACAATGCCTTACACACACCAGAAGATTTTATGGAAAATGATGGAAAATTGAAAAAAGCCTATAGTGCGCTCGAAGCCTACAAATGTAATTTGACATTACCCAAAACCCATATCTGCCCCTTCTGTGAACATCAAATATGCGTGTGGATAAGGACAAAAATGACATAATCTTTGATTGAGGACTTTTCGGTTCAAAAGAAAACATGTGGGACTAATTGGTGCATAAGTTCATAACTTGGGATTTATTGGTGCTTCATCTTTTTTTAAATTGAGTTTTATATTTTTTATATTTTTGGTGATCTTTTAATAGTTTAAACAAATTTATTTTTTAGATACAGTTAACATAAATATAATTTAAAATATAATATTATGAAAAAAAAATCTTTAAAAAACTCACTAAACACCAAAAATATAAAAAAAATTCAATATATTTTCGTATTTTTGTGTATTTATTGATTTTGAAAAGTATTTTTTACAGATATTGTATTTTTTAAGTATTTTTTTAAGTACATTTAAGTTAAATACATTTAAAAAATAAACAATTTGCTTAAAATACTAAAAAAATCATTAAAAACTAGAAGAAATATGAAAAATAAAAAAAAATCAACTAAACAAAGGATTCATTTTCCTAATTATTTTCAAATTCTATAAAAACCCAAAAATCTAAACACATGATTATTTTAATTATTTACTTAAACTT